AAAATGTAATTTTATTTTAAATGAAATGCTGGAAAAAGCACTTTCATGTGAAACTTCCCCCAAGAAATTAACAAAAAGTTAATTCCTTCAAACTTTAACATATTTTAAATTGGTATCATCCCTTCTCTTTTCCCCATATAAAGTCTGCTGCCACCTTGCTTTCATTTTCCAGAGCTGCTCTTGCTAACCTTGCCATGTTTTTATCATTAAATTCTTGATTCTTTTCTTGGACCTGCCTGGGAAAAGCTTTTTTCCCCCACTTTGGTGCAGTGCAAGAGCCTAATTGGTAAGAAAGGGAAATCTGGCAAATGATCACTCCTTGGGTGCAACAAGAACACTTCCACAATGAATTTTTGAAGGTGGAATCCCACAAAAGAAAGACAAATGGTCAATCCTTGGAGTGACATCCCAAGGAATTTTTGAAGGTGGAATCCCAYAAAAGAAAGGCAARTGGTCACTCCCTGGAGTGACATCCCAAGGAAGTTTTGAAGGTGTCCCATATTTACCCAAATAACACTAATGGCCCAAGTTTGTCAATAAATGCATTATTTTCTCCACTCTACTTTTGGAAATCCTACTATAATGTCGCTGCTGTTAGAGGGCTCCTTAAAAATCCCCCTAAAACCTTTCATAAGCAACAAGGAACTGATTCCCAACCTGTTACATTTATCCCAAACACTTCCCTGTGCTCAACACTTCAATTCCAGGAGGTGTTTCTGGTTGCACCAGAGCAAAAGGTCTTTGACCATAATTTACATTCCTCTGCATTCCTCTCCTGGGATTATTAAAGGGATCAGGCAAGCTTTCCAAATTAAGGGAAAGACGGGATTTCCTACTGGAAAACCCCACTGGAACGACACTTTCTGTTGTCCAGCCTGGAAATATTSGATGCCAGTTTCCTCTACAGACCTTTTTGTGGATATGGACATTTTCAWGGCATCAGGGAATGRTKTGGTTTGGAAGGGACCTTGAAAATCATTGAATTCCCATCCCCAAGGTTCTGCAAGCACAAACCCAACCCAGCTGTTGGATTTGCTACCATTTTAGCAGGTCTTGGCCAAGGCAGAGRACGTCATTCCCTGCTGCAAGCTTTATTCCTGAGAAGCAGGGACATGTACAGACCTTGTCAAAGGCTTCCTGGGAGGAGGTGCAGAATTTCAGGCACTCGTCGATGAAGAGATTGAGATATCTCTGCCGGATGTTGGTTGGGACTTTAGCACCGAATTCTGTGGGAATAACAGGCCTCTGTAAAGTGGTGCTCTGCAGGTGAGACAGAGAGAGACAAAGAGGCTGGTCAGGCTTTAGGAAGCTGCTCTGAGGCTCTCCCATTTCCTGCTGTTATTAATCATGGGGTGACTTCCTTTCTGAAAATCTGCCCAAAGCCAAACTGAACACGCAGCACTTTTGGTACTAAAAATACCACTTGAGGCTTCGATACCTTCAGGGCTTTTTGAACTCCTTTAGAAAACAACCACRTTTCCTTCTGAACCCAGGAGCCAAGGACTCCAGTGGCATTAGTCACAGCACTGCCTGCACACACAGCATTGCAGAGCAGGGAATGCTGACATTTCCAGAGAGAAATCCAAGGTGAGGATGGCTCCAACACCACGGGTGAACTGGAGCCACGAACACACTTATGGGCACCACAGACATGGGTTTGGTTCTCTGGCTGTGAAGAGAGAACAAGARACCCCTCCTGCCAGGCTGGCAGCCACCTAAACCATCTCATTTCCTGAGGCATTCCTGTAAATTGACTGCATTGGGAGTTTTCTTTCTTTTTTAATGCCAATCATGATGTTCCWAAAAAGATTTCCCCTCTYRATTTAATGTTCTTCAAAACCTGCAYGTTGGACTGAGCTATGAGCCACCACTGCAGTTTTTCATTTAACACCAGTTTATTCCCCAAATCATAGCACTTGCCTCTTTTTCAGAGAGGAAACTGCACATTCATCTCCAAAACACCCAATTSTTTTGTCAGTTGTTCTCCATCCCACCCAAGAGACATCCACAAACCAAACCATCTGCTGCAATCTGGAATAAAAACAGTTCTGTGGAAGATGGGAGCTTGTTCCAAAGGGAGCAACTGGTCCTTTCTCAATAGGAAAAGTGCTCGTTTTTCCCAGGAGACTCCCATTTTGATGACCTTTTCAAGGAGATTTGGTCCTTTTCATTAAATATATATATATATATATTCTCAATCTCTAATATGACACCATTAAGCACCTCTGAAACTCTGATAAATAATTCATCCTTTCAGTTGTTTCTTTTTTTTTAAATCAGTTTCAAGTTCGACATTACTGTGGTGGCAGTTTGGGTGAGAAAGGGAAAAAAAAAATACTTCTCACTCTTCTAGAAATAATCAGAACAAGTTGTGACAGATCTTGACACAAGACACCATCAGTAAAGAGATCTTTAATCAAGTCCTGGCACCAACCACGTTCTGCCATCCACTCCAACAAACAGCTCCTCATGCCATGCACAGGCTGCTCCATGATGGGGAATTCTACTCTGAATTATCTGAGCAAGTAACAGATTCCCAGTGCTTGTGGGGAAAGGAGGGATTTACAGAATCATGGAATGGTTTGGGTGGGAAGGGATTTGAWAAAAATCATCCTCTTCCASCCCTGCCATGGCAGGGACACCTCCCACTGTCCCAGGCTGCTCCCAGCCCCAATGTCCAGCCTGGCCTTGGGCACTGCCAGGGATCCAGGGGCAGCCMCAGCTGCTCTGGGCACCCTGTGCCAGGGCCTCCCCACCCTCCCAGGGAACAATTCCTTCCCAATATCCCATCCATCCCTGCCCTCTGGCACTGGCAAGCCATTCCCCCTGTCCTATTGCTTTACTAAGGAACTCACAGCAAAAATACTCAAAGCCTGGGCAGAGATCCCACTGGGGGGAAGAGAAACAAACCAAAAACAACCAAGAAAGAGAAAACAGTTTTTCTCCTGTAACACCAGCAGCAGCGTGAAGTTCAGYGATCACATTTTACTGTCTCAGTCACAGAGGGACATTGTTCAGAACCACCTGCCTCAGAGTGGCCACAAAGCCTGGGAAGGCCATTAATCCAAGCCCCTGACCCAAACACACCCAGGCCAGCAGCACAAGAGAGGGCTCAAACTGGAGACAAGTGATCAATATTTACAGAGATCASAGCAGCACTTAAGTATTTCTACCTTTTTAAGCTCCTGCCCTTCGAGTGTTTAATTTTTTATACAATGCTGTCGAGGAAAACCCACAGGAAGMAACAAACCCACTTCATCAACATAATCAAAACACCACTTTGAGGGAGTGCTAAGTTTGGAACAGCAGGATCAAACATTCCACCCTCCCCAGGGAACGACAGGAAAGAATTCAAACTCCCCTTACCTGTAAGGAGGGAACGTGTGCTACCCTTTTGGGCACGATGGTGCTGGTGGTCTTGGAAGCCATCCCAGCCAARGTGCAAGGCTTCAGAGGAAGGGTGGGGGCTTCAGAGTCATTGGAAGGTGTGACACTTCTGCCACCAACAGCTGTCTTGCTGCTGCCGAGGCCTGCAGGGAACACAAAACATTCAGGTACAAATCCAACCACCAGGCTTCAGGCTGCCAGAATGAACTCACTATCACGGGCCAGCGCTGCAAGCTGTGATTTTCTCAAATCCAGGCTTCCAAAGGGACACAAATTGGGTAATTTTACCACCTTGCAGGCAAGGATGAAGAAACCTCGTGCCAGGAAACGTGGCTCATTTGGGTGTGTTTTGGGGTAACTGAGTCAGCAGAGTTTAAAGGGGTAACTCTGTCAGCTGCAAGGCACTGACAGCCCACACGTCACCTCCGAGTCCAGCCACTACAAAGGGCCAGCAATGAGCATTAATTAGCATTTCCCTCCTGGCCCTGCCACCTCTGAAGGCTTAAAYGGAAGAGAGAATGAAGAGCAAACACAATCCAAGGAAAAAACTGCAAAAGGCAAGGCTGAAGTGAGGGAGGCTGGTGAGATAGATGAGGCCATACACGTCTGACCTGTCGCTTTTCAGAACAGGGTGGAGTTTCCCAGGGAAACACCTTCCACTGAACACTATCAGCAAAGATTTAAGTCCTGCCCAGTCCTACACATCCCCTGACAGTTTCCCATCCGCTCAGGAGAAATGTAAACACAYGGTGGTGCCTTGGACCAGCACAGGATCCCCAACCCCACCACCGGCTTACTTTGCTTGGCTGCTGCGGTGTGRGCTGCATTTGGCACGTGAGCAATCCTCCTCTTTTCTCCTGGCAAACAGAGAGAGGTCTTTTGAACTGCCACAGCTAGCTGTGCTGCCTGCTGCTGAGCCAGCTGGATCCTCTGGTAACACACCTCCTGGGCCGTGGGGGGACGGTAGGGCCGCACTACGGGCTTGCTCGGGGTCTCTGCCTGCACAGACAAACAGCGTTTAGGGTCAGCAGCTCCCCTGCTCCATCCACACCCTCTGCCTTCCATCACCCCACAAAGGGCTCTTCTCCTCAGCCCCACTGTCAGCAAGCACGGCGTTGTGAGAGGAGAAGATCCCAAATCTTGTCACAACAAAATAATTACGAGTCATCCTTCAACAAACATGGCATTAATGATTCAGGCTCTGGGAAGGCCTCCCAGCTCCCTGGCACACTCCTGGAATGGCAGGTGGTGTTCATGAGCACCTTGCAGTGCTGTGATGTTCCCCACGGCTGTGCCCAGCCCAGTTCTGGGCTCTCAACTCTCWCAGCCTTGCTCTAGAACATGAATGTCACCCTGCTCTGCCCACTTTGCTTTGKGCTGCCATGAAAAAGTGACAACAATTCCCTCTGTCACACGATGCTGAGCTCCGCTGCTCTGTCATTGCACCCCCCTCTGCACCACAGTGGCTCCCACCTCTCTGCAGCCCTGGAACTGCTTAAAAGCCTCACAGATATATATTTATATATTTATATATTTATATTTATATTTATATTTATATTTATATTTATATTTATATTTATATTTATATTTATATTTATATTTATATTTATATTTATATATATTTGTACTTATATTTATATTATTTTTATTTTTATTTTTATTTTTATTTTTATTTTTATTTTTATTTTTATTTTTATTTTTATTTTTATTTTTATTTTTATTTATTTATATCATAGAGCATTACATAAATCAAGCTTTGAATTTCAAACAGGCTCTATTCCTGCCTCCTTTTGGAGGCACCTCACTGCCCCAACTGCCACAGCACAAACAGGTTCCACACGCGTTTCCTTTGATGGCCAAATTTAGGTTTGCGGGAGAAGTGCCAGAAATTATGTCAGCAGAGAGAGGTTTCCTAGCAGCAGAAGTACAAGAGAAGCTGCAGTACTACAAACTTCTCCACTCTACATAAAACCTTTGAAATGTGAGGATCACATTTCCCTCATGAAATCTCCCTGGAGGACCCAGTGTAACACCTGACACCTCAAACTGAGGAAAAAGCTGGCACCTCCTGCATTCCTGGCCCSTGATGCTGACAGCAGCTTCTGGATACCAAAGTGAGTGAAGTCACCCATGAAATTATAGTTACAGACTTCCAGGCAGGACAGGCCACTCATTTGCTGCCTCACCRGCAATTCCTTTGGTCCCCCATTTCCCCTGGCAACCAAACCCAAACTTGGCTCCCTCCCCTTCTCTTGCTCGGTCCTTGAGCAATAAATCATGACCAACACTGAGCAAATATTCCACTTGGAGGCACACAGCAAAGCACAGGCCTCAATTCCSTGTGGAAAAGTGGCAGCTCAGGTGTTCCAGCACCTCCTGGACAGAGCTGGGAGCTGCTCTGAGCTGWGAAACTCCAGGGAAGGGAGGTGCCAGGGCTGCCCTGGCAGCTGAACACACCAGATTTGCTCTGTTTGCCCAAGCCGAGGCTGTGCTGGGGCTCCCATCTTTGGAAAGCATTTTGGGATCWGCTGTCACATTAAGAAAATATATTTAAAGGTTTGTACATGTCTAAAAGGTGCCTCTTTACAATAAATATTTGAGSTAATGAATTTCCAAGCCATTTGCTTCAGTCTCTTATCTCTTCACTTAGGAAGAAAGGGCCCTTATCAAACCACATGAACTGGCTGGAGATGTGTAGTTAAATAAAACCCATTGTACTGACCCCAGGGCTTCAGATTATTAAAGGCAAAAAAACCCTTTCCTAGGCAGTGAGGAAAAGCAGAACAATTAATTTGGACTACCCAGCTCCAATCAGTGCACAAACCTCCACTYTTATCCTGCTGGAACATAAAACTAATCTGTGCTCAGCACCTGGAGGGAAGCACATTAAACCCTCAGAGAAAACATGAATTAAAATCCCTGGGAGGAAGGAATAAAAAAATCAGAATGTCTTCCTTGCTTTTTTTGTTTTAATTGTTCTCCTCTGTRTTTTCACAACTGGGAAAGAAGAGTATCAAAACAAATTCTTGGCTGATTCAGAACAGATGTAAGGTAATGGTTTTAAACCATCTGACAAAATTCCTGCAGCTATCTTTCAGATCCACAAAGCACAGAAAAATATCAGCAGACACAGAGTGACCCTGTATCCAGTTAATTTTTATTGAAATTACTGAATAAAGCTGTACTGCAGAAAAATGAACATCCCAACCTATGCCAAAGGGTCACCAAGAGTAGAATCCATCCACTCTTCCCAGCCTGCCTGGTTTTAGGAAGTTTATTGGAGTTTTTCTGCCACTTTTAACAGWTCCTAAACATAGGGGGTTTTTGAGAAATTAGACAAAACAAAACTGTAACAGACTGATTCCAGCACAAACAACTCCCACGCAGCTGCCTGGCCCTGGGAGTGCAACCTTTGCCAGGGTCAGGACAGAAAATCCTCACTTGGAACAATCTAAACATCTGCTTCTAAATYTGCACTTACATTTCCTTGTTTGACAAGATGAGAGATCCTTCTCTTTTGGCCAGGAAACAAGGTAGCTAAATTACCTTCTGTCTTTTCTTCGTTTGCTTCCTCTTTGGATGGCTGGAAAACAAAAGAACACAAAAGATTTGAGATGCCTGGCAAGAGGGAGATGTGGAAAGTCTTCTTTTGGGTTAACCTTGGAGGGGGCAGGTGAGAATACGTGGTCAGTGCTGAACCAGTGTCACAGATGTTCCCCTGACCMAAAGAGCCACCAAGGAAGAGCAGTGTGGCATTGCCACACTGTGCCAGGATCAGCCTGAGCTGCCTCAGGAGCCCTGAAGAGCCCTCCCCTGCCAGCCACTCWTCTGTCACCTCTTGTGGCATTCTTGAAATCCAGGAGGGTTGGRGTGGTTTGGTTTTTTTAAAAAGCTGGGAGCTGAGTCATTTCTGCCCCAGGGCAGGTGCTGACAACCAACACCAAACACRGTGCCCCCAGCCCACATTTAGGGAAAGGTTTCTCTGCAGGTTCTGTCACTGCAGGGACATTCTGATGACAAAGGCCAGGTCACATCCACAAACACAGGAGGAAGTGGCAGTGCCTCTCCAGACAAAGCTACTCTGAGCTGACACCTCAGACCTGCTCCTGGACAKGGACAACCACTTGGAAATCTGCTTGGAATTTGACTCAGTTGATAATGGATACAAAACACACTTCACGGGTTTATTTTTCAAAAYTCCAGCTGCTCTCCAGACAAACCTGTTTTCAATTTTTCAAAACAACTCCTGGCAAAACTCTGAGATGAGCCTGACAATCTCTGAAATTCWGCAACAGAGCCCAAGGCTGGATTTAGGAATGAGCTCAGGCACCGCTTGGGATAAGCCTGTGCTCATCACCATGAGGGCACTCTGGGTGAGCACTCGAGAAACTCCAGAGTGTGTTAATTCAATCACATCCCTAACAAACTCTCTCACAACACCATTCTCCCAGGTGGAAAAGCACCAAAGCTTCCTGGAATCACAGAATCCTGGAACATCCTGAGCTGGAAAGGACCCACAGGGATCATCAAACCCACCCCTGTCCCTGCCCAGACCCCCCAACAGCCCCACCCTGTTCATCCCTGGCAGCGCTGTCCAAACGCTCCTGCAGCTCTGGCAGCCTCGGGGCCRGGACCATTCCCTGGGGAGCCTGGGCAGTGCCAGCACCCTCTGGGGACAGAAGAACCTTTCCCTGAGATCCCAATTCCCCCCACAGATCCCAGACATCAAACAACATGGGGTCAGTAGACACAGTTTTCCATCTAGAAAATGACTCCGTCAACAAAAAAAATGCCCCATGACCAATCCTACCCACCAGGTGCCCACTCACAGATATCCATCTCCCAAAGGAAGATCCCTGTGCTGTAGAAGGGGTTCTGCCCTTCYCAAAAGAGCAGAAATCCAAACCTCAGTGCAGGGATGCGAAGGAGCCACACGTGGCTGCTGACAGCTGAGCTTTGYCACTCCAGGCCACAATTAACTGTTTGCTGTGAGTGGCAGCCCCTGGTTCAGCACTTTGTGAATTCAGGGATTAGGAATTCCTATTATAGATTATGTGCCCTTCAACTATTTTCACTTTAACTGGGCAACTTGGAGGAAAAAAAAAAGGGTCAAAAATATTGAGTTCTTCCCTAGCTAGGAATTAAACTAAGAAAGAACAGCAGAATTTTACACAAGCAACGCTTAATAGTTGAGAAGGAAACCATCACACTGAATACATTCATAGAGTTTCCTCTACCCATTTTGTGTGAGTGCAAAAAATGAATTTAATTGTTAACAACAGAGTTCCCTGTGTCCACACTGGGGCTGTGAACACAACAGGGTTCAGCAAAAAGCTTTAACAGCCCAGCTCCTGCTCCCAAAGCTGAGCTCTGCTCCCCACACCCAGCACAACACCCGTGTCATCCAACAGATGGTCCTGAGTGGAAGGGTTTGCCTGGGCCACTGCACCCAACAGCTCCCAAAGCCTAGACAGCAGCACCCACTCCTGATGGGCTTTTTAGAGCCAAAGCCAAAAACTTATCCCAGCAGGAGAAACTGCCACGGTGTGGTCGTGACGCTCCTTCTGCACTTTCCCACCTCTCCTGCACATCCTTCATGCCCACCCTGCTCGTGGGTAAAGGGCTCTAAACTGGGACTCACTGGATGCCCTGATGGTGCCCCAGTAGTTCCATGATCTTTGGGATGCAGAACAGCTGCAGCTGAAGCCATTGGTTATCCCTTGGATTAGCAGGCTCATCCCCTGGATCCCCCCACCCCAGCACACAAAAGGCACCTGATTTTGTCACCTCACTTCATTCAGCTCCTTCTGGTGTCTAAAGAGCTCCAGGAGAGCTGGAGAGGGACTGGGGMCAAGGGCTGGAGGGACAGGACACAGGGAATGGCTTCCCAGTGCCAGAGGGCAGGGATGGATGGAATATTGGGAAGGAATTGTTCCCTGGGAGGGTGGGGAGGCCCTGGCACAGGGTGCCCAGAGCAGCTGTGGCTGCCCCTGGATCCCTGGCAGTGCCC